AATAATAATAATAAAAGAAAAGAAAAAATATATTTCCAATATCTCTGTGTTGGAGTCCCGAATTCAGACACTTGTTATTTTTAACACTCCATTACTTCTTAAAATTGGTTTTTCTAACCTAATAAAAACAGCGTAAAAAATAGGGAAAATTAGGTTGTGTACCATATAAAAATAAGTATTTTGATTAATACATTTTGAACTAATTAAACATTTTAATCAAGTAATAATTACGTCTTAATCTAAACTATTAAGTAAAACTCCAAGTCCCCTAAAGTAACCCAATAGTAACCTCGAAACCCATTCCTCTCATCCCTAGAAATGCTCCCCATATTTAGAGACGATTTCTCATCTCTGAGAAAACTCGATTTGTAATTTCCATTTCCTCCCATTTTTTTTTTTGTCGATTTCGTCTTCGTATTCTTCGTCTCCGTTCATCTTCAATCTCCTCCTCATTTCGTGGGGATCTTAAACACCGATCCTAAAACCCCCAAATAGTTGGAACCCTGACTTGTTCCGATCAAAATCCAGAAATCTGAGTTCGATTCTGACTTATTCACTTCAACACAGACATTGACTCCAATACTGGACTCCGACTCCTATTTTTGCAATGGTTGAAAAAAGTGGGTTGAAGAGGAAAAGAAATATTGATGAAGAACTGAAGAAAAATGAAATATCTTCAACATCTTATAAACCCAAGGTAGCATTAACTTCTTCAATTTCCCCTCTTGTTTATAAATTTAATTTTTAGTTCCTTGTTGGGAAATTGACTTTCTGGTTTTGATATTTCGTATGTGATGTTATGCATTTTAAAACATTTTACAACGCCCTTACCTTTTATTTTATGTAAAATGAAGTACGCATAAAATGAAGTACGCATAGGTCAGTGAAAGGAGAGGTGGGGTTTCGTCAATTTTTCCCATAATCTATTATGTGTTAATGGTTGTGACCAAACTCGTGGAAATAATGAAAAAGAAAAATAAGTTAATTGAAGTGATCATGTCCTTGCCATTTTGGTTATGAATGGTAGGGTTCCTGTGAAAGTTGTGATGTCAGTGCTATAAGAATGGATAGCATCAATGTGCATGCTAGTTTCTCAATTTTCATAGTGATTATCATCTGTTTGATTTCTATAGCACGTACTAGATTATAACATAGGTGTGAGGTTTGTTATAAACATCTCAACATTGTTTTAAGGCCAAAATTTTGTTAGAGAAATATTCTTATAGTCACTTTTTAAAATTTATTTCACTTTTTTGTTATTCTCTGTCACTTTTTTGATTGTTTGCCAAAAGTGATCCATGCATATGCATACGTTCACAGTGACTGATATTTTCATGTAGAAAAGAATTTTATGTCATCTTGTAGTATCATAAGTGATCAACTTCTAGGTAGCTTGTCTTTATGTTTATCACTTTTTAACAATTTGAATGA